GGAGCTGAGCTTGAGCAGAGAGGGGGGAGCCTGCCACCTTGCCCCCAAGGCCTGGACAAGCTCTCCCCCATGGGCAGGTTTGGAGACCCCAGAGAAAAAGGCCTTGGGAACCTCAAAAAGAGAAAATGATGTAAAAGGAGTCTAAGGAGATGGTCCTGTGGGTGGCTCCTGGGCCCAGAGAGGCCAAATGTTGAGAGCTAAAGACACTTCCAGAAAGTCCCAACAAACCAACAGAAATTCTACTTGGTTATTCTGGCCTATGAATTTATGCAAAAGTGGAGTGAATAAGTCAAAACTATATTTAGTCTAGAAAGGTAGAATTGGAATTAAGGAAGAGAGAAAATGATTTTAATAGCAGCCACTCAAACATTTTCAAGACTTTTTTTCTCTTTTGGCTTGGACTGAGTGACTGTTTTCTGGAGATGAGGACTTTGCCACACTGGCTATCCATGGACACTAAGTACCTCTATGCTGGCTTCAATTTCCTTTCAATACACTGTAACCCCAGAAAAAAGCTCTTTACTGGCCACACCCCAGCATCCAGACGCTTTTGATACTGTAGAAATGATGACAGAAATCAAAAGTGAGGAGACTTTGTAAGAGAAGCATCGAGGAGCAGCCTCCGAGCCAATGGGTGGCACTCACAACCAATGATGGTGGGAGGTAGAGACTTGCACATCCCCCCCAGTGGGGGCTGATGAGAAATAGGGGAAGAGTTGGGACTTTACCAGTTAAGCTATTGGGCCTTTTGGAAAGTAGGATGCTGGTGAGAAGGGGTGGCTGGAAGGTGCCATCACGCCATGTGTGGCTTCAGCTTGGACCTCAGTCTCTGCTCAGCAGATGCTACCTGGGGCAGGGGAGACAGCATCTGGCCGTGCACCAGCCTGTAAATTCTCTCCCTCCCTTCCCCTCTCGTCCCCTCCCCTCCTCGGCTCTCATTCCAGTTCCCCTGAGTTTCCTCTGTTGCAGAAGGCAGGCAGGCTGTTTGATTAATGGATGAATGGTGAATGGGTGGATGGAAGGAAGGTAGACAGATTATTGATTGACTTATACGGCTTACGTTCTCAGCACTGTCAAATGAAGCAAATTAGTCGGTGTGCTCAATAAACTGTAGTTGAATAAATCACCATCAAGCGTTGCTTAATGATAAGGATACATTTTGGGAAATACAAGGTAAAGTGACTTTGTCATCGTGTAAACCTGTTCTAGCGTGAATCCACATGCCCACACAGTGGAGCCCACTATACACCCAGGCTGTATGGCACAGCCTGATGGCGGCATTGCCTACCCATCACTGGTCAAAATGCCACCGGGAGAAGTGTGGCTGTAAATCCGCATGTCTGCCAAGTGATCATCGCAACACAAAACACATGAACACGTTTGATCTGAGTTCCTTTGACAGACGCCCCCAGACCATGAACCTGTCTTCCCCCTGCCCCCACAACCACTGCATCTGGACAGACCTGAAGACAAGCCCCACCCCAGGGAACTCCAGATGGTCCCCATCCTCGCTCACCTGCTCCGGAGCTTCATCCCTTAAGCCGACGTGTCTGGGTGTCCAAATGTCCCCTTATTATAAGGACCCCAGTCCTACAGGATTTGACCCACCTTCATGGCCATGCTTGTGCGTGGCTGTCTCCACTGAGGTCTGACTCCAAACAAAGACATGTTTGGAGGTTCTCAGGGGTAGGATGCCAACATATGAAATTTAGGGGGACCCGTTCAGCCCATCACATCAGACTATCACAAATCCTGTGAGGTCCATGGGAGCAGAGAGCCTCGGATTTGGCTGCCTCTAAGTCCAGGCAAACCTGCCCATGGTCAGGTTGGCGTGAGGAAGGGGGTGCGTTTGCTTAGCCACGGTTTGCAGTGTCTTCATTCCTCCCTCGGTGCTCGGGCCATCCGCCTCATCACCCCACTTCCCAGCCACCCCTCCGGCAAGGACCACATTCTGGCGCTCACAGGCCGGGTGCACCCAAGACCCTCCGTGCACTGGCTGGGTGTCCCTGCTGCTCAACCTCCCTGAGCCTGTTTCCTTCTCTGTAAGATGGAGTAATGACGCTCCCTATGTAGGTTTTCATGAGGAGGGGAAGGTGGACATTCGCCAAGGACATGGTAGGCACTAGATCTGTGTCCCTTGGGGCCCCGGGTCTCTTGGGAGGCTTAGAGCCAGGGCCTGTGGGCCGCCTGGCCATGCCCATCTCCACTGGGTGCTTTCGCCTGGTGGGGCTGCTGGGCTGGGCCGCCCCTTTGCTGGCTCTCAGCAGGCAGCCCCAGCCACACCCCGTTTTACGCATATAAGAAAAGTCCAAGCGTGAGGGCCTGCGATTGTTCCATTTGTTTACAGCATTTGCTCGAGCATATTTCTGGCAAGGAAGTTGACAATAAACCAAGGCCCGGGCAGCGGGGCTGGTGGGGCAGCAAATGAAGCCAGCTGCTGTGCGGGTGCCCGGTGGGCTGGGCCGGAAACCGGGCCTCTGTGCTGGCGCGTCAGAGGAGGGCCCTGCCTGGGGTGGCCAGCCCGAGCCCGGCCTGGGGGACAGGCGGCTGGGGCTCCGGTGCTCCCCGAGGAACTTGGTGACCCCATACCCACAGCTGCATGTCCCTTGGCCTCAGTTCCCAAGCTCGAGGGGTCACTAGGGATCCAGGTGCATCTTGTGACCCAGACCGTACTTTGGCTCAGGAAGTGGGGGTCTTCTCAGGGTACAGCCTGGTTCCTCAAGTCCTGTGTTGTGTAGCTTCTGAGGTGGAGAACGAAGGCTAACCATGGGCCAGGCAGGCCCCAGGGCACAGCACCCCTGGGTCAAGAACCCCCTCCAATGCCTGGTGTTGGGCACCCAAGTCCAGCGGAGGGAGGGAATCAGCCCAGGTCCCAGCACGTGAGGCAGGGCCAGCAGGAAAACCGGATGCCCCTGGGTCATCCCCTCCCTTGCGACCATTGCTCTTGCACAGCAAGAAGGGTTTTGTCTCTGCACATGCTCATTAAAGAGCGAGTGAGCGAGTGAATGCATGAGTGAATGAATGAATGAGGGGTGACTGAACGAACCGAATAATGTGGTAACAAGTCAAGATGGAAGACGTCTGGCCACCGTCCAGCTGTCTGAGAGCCCGCTGCCTGAAGGGCCGCGGCTCTCCCAGGGTATTCACCAGAGGCCCTCTCCTAGGCCCCTTGGCGGGAAAGGTCTGCAGGGAACAGGCAAGGCCTGGCGGCTTCTGGAAGGATGGCGGGTGCTCGGGCCTGACAGGTGGGGGCCCTGGGCCCCGGCCCAGCTGCTGGAGCCCCCAGCAGGGCGGGTTGGCAGCG